AAGAATCTTAAGTTGAAAAAATAAACATCTGATCGAGAATCAACATTATTGGTTGAAATAAGACTTTCAAAAACGAATTGTCAAATCAAAGAAAACAATGGCTACGATATACTTTATACTTTAGTGTGTGCATAAATCTGTTAATCAATATATATATATATATATATGCTGGAAAGTTGGTGTACTTGTAAATGATGAACAGGGTCAAGCACACTAGCATATATCAAGTAAATGTTCTTATTAATTTATTGTATGCTCGAATAATTCGTTCATTCGTTCATTCGTTCATTCGAGTGACCTGCTTTAAGAACTATATATGTAGACTAAATGATCACGGGATCAGAGGATATGATTTAGCAAATCAGCAAATAATAATTAACAGTCTGAAAGAGAAAATTCACTAAGTGAATCTTCTGGTAAATTGCTCTCCGCTATTTTTCGTCGTTTTTCTTCTTTTGCCACAACTCTAGCTTGATGTCGTGCTGCTTTAGCCATACGATAATCGCGTCGAATCTATAATGTCGAAATGTATATTCAGAAATGGTGTCATTCATATTAACTTTCTACAAAAAAAAAAATTGTATACCTGATTAGGTGAAACAAATTCTGGATTTGCAAATATAGTGGCTCCACTAAAACTGCCTTCAAATATTCTAATAACATTAAGAACAAATCGTGGTCCTATCTCTACAAGCGATAAATCCTTATCATTTGGTTTTTTGTTGGGTTCCATTGGATCTTTTTCAATTATCTATTTTTAAGAAATGTATATATATTCACAATAATCACATAAATAGTCGATTAACTAGTCAAATAATCAAATAAGAAATAACAACTAATTTCGGTTACGTACCTGAAAATTACGAAACCATATGCGATTATCAGCAATCGTAAAGGAAATGACATGATCGATAAAGGGTTTTATTCGACGTGCGCTTCTTGGAATACCAAAAATCTAAAAATACTTTTATAAAAATATAGTTCTATCAAGATGATTAATGATGAATTTTATCCTAATGAAATTCATACATGGGTAAAGACTTCTTTAATTAATATCCAATGGGGTTCTGAATCAAAGGTCTTATCAAAAGAGAGGATCGGGCGGGATCCTTTGAGACAATTTCCTGTCATCTTAAGCTCATCCATGGTGTGAACTATCCATCATGATAACGCGACTTTTGTTTAGTCAAAGTAAATTTGTGAATCTAAGCATATTAAGAATTGTGACTTACTGTTTTGGACATGAAATTTAATGCTTGGTCCATTGGGTGTTTTACTTGTCCACATATAAAGGTCTTGACGTTTTCGTACCTCGAAAAAGACGCAATTATTGCAATTATTAAGTTCTGCCAGTTCATTAATGATTCCAAGCTTGGACTTTTGATCGAGTTTAGAATCTAGTAAAATTATTATATCATTACATATCAATTACATATCATCACAACTTCAGACAGGTTCATACTCAGGTGATGCTAAGTAAATTAAAAGAAATGACTATACCTTTCTTAAAATGGGGAAAGAGTACACCAAGATCATTTAATAAGTGTCTCTGTCTAAAACCGGGATAAGTCTACCTGTTTTAACCGACGTGGAAAATCAGCAATCTATCGCTCACCTAAAGTTTACTCCTCGTGAAGACAAGGCAAGAACTCTCTGTCTATTCTGTTTATTTTCCAAGGGTTTCTTTTCTTTAGGATCATCAGAGTCTTCATCCTCTTGAGCTTTAACTATTTGTTTATATAAGGTAGCCATTGAGGAATAGCTGTAATTACGTAAATTACTGAATTACTGAATTACGCTGAATAAACTTTCGTCGATTATCAAAATCTCCCCGAGAATCTCCTTAAAAAGATATTGAATTTTTTCTCCTGACCGTAATTTACAATGCATGAATCCTTATTGGTCGATTTATAAATCATGTGATACCACATTCGGCAATTTTTGCCACATGCGAACGATAGTCAGATGCTTTATTTGGCTGGCACACTCAAATAATACATCTAAATTTCTCAATCAACTGAATGGTATATTACTTTTTTTACTCTTTTCTCTTTTTTTTTTTTTTTGAATTTGCTGCGATATACTTTTTTCTTGAATAGCTTCTGAATTACACGACAAAGGCAACATGACGTCTAAAGAACAAGATTTTGACAAAAAGTTGTATGAATTGCTTGAAAGAAAACCACCTGGAATAAGTGCTTCCAAAATAAAAGACTTGACGAGAATAGCAATGACTAGTCCAAAGGTGAGATGAGTAAAGTTAAAGCAAGAGATTAGTTTTCTAGAAAGTTCACTCCAACTGTGGGTTTAAAAGATAAAACTTTATAGAGATACCTTTAAAGAAAAAATTAGCGAGGGGTTGAACTTGTTCTTTATTGGTTGAGTAAAGGGACTTCCGCAGTTATCATCATATACGGGGGTTAACATAAAAACAATCGTAGTGAACTATTATCTTTTGGTTGGATCGATGATATTTTCAAAAATAAAATCCTTTTTTTACTTAATATAAAGTCGACCATTTCATATATTTAATTTTTTTTTTTTTTTTTTAAAAAAACTAAATTAAAAATTATTCCTATTTATGTCCAAAAACGAGCAAGTTAATACATCGGTTGTGAAAAAAAAAAAAATAAATTTTGCAAATCACTAAATGTCTTTTCTGCTCCCGATATTTTAATTATCGCTGAAAAAAAATTCAGCAATATAAAAACATAGTATACAGCGTACAGAAATTCATTCAAAGATGTTCGGCCGATTACAAGTTAGGAGCATTATATGTATTGGATTCAATATCACAAGCGGCACAGAGACAAAAGACATTGGTTGCTGAAAAAGACAACGATGGTTCCGCTTGGTCAGGTGCTGAATATCTTGAAAGGTTTGAGAAAATATTAGAAGATATGTTTTTACACATCATGCAATGTCCAGAACACGACAAGGTAAGAATCACGTGATGCTCGTTTCTTTTTCTAAATTGCCAAGGGATAAGTTTGATTGTTATGTAGTGATGCTATAGGTGCAACAATAATTTAACTTGCGCGACATATTACGCCGATCGTCGTATATTTTTAACTATCCAATTCTTCATTCATTATAATTAAAAATCATAGGATCATGTATCAATAACAGCGATCAAAGACATAATACATAGATTAATAATCCATCATTACTTCTTTATTATCATATTAATTTTCCTTTTTTACATAGTAGTCTTACAAATTTTGCATATAGCTTCCCTTGGTTTACACTGTGGGGCTGTTCGATTGCGTTATAATCTCATGTATTAATTAAAACTCATATAAAATACAGGACAAAGTGAAACGTGTTCTTGACATATGGCTTACCAAAGATGTCATATATGACAAGGAATTAATTCGAAAAATAAAAGATACCTATTTTTCTCAAAGAACTGTGACAAATCCTTTAGAAAACAATTTACATGAGTCTCAATCGATAACGACACCAGTATCACATGGAGGTGATCCACGAATGGTTTCTGTGCCAAGTAATGTTTCGTTCATATAAATTGCATAAATCTAAAAAAAAACATAACTGTACTGGACAAGACGAATCAATCGTGTGATCCAGCTTGGTCTTAATAGTGTTCTTTTCTCTATCAATTATAGATCAGCCAAGTATGACGATGTCAACAGCTTTGGATTCTTCAGCTTTATTAGCTACACTAAACAATTTAACTCAAGGAACTTTGAATATACCTCCATTTTTGTCAGCAAATCCAATAACTGCTGCTACAACGCAACCTATTAATACTTCCATCGCTTTTAATAATGTTGCTACTAACGCGCACGCTGTTCCTCCACAGTTCCCTAATATTACACAACCTTCTGTTTCTGCGAATAATGGTTTTCTACAATCTCCAGTATCTTCTAATTATCCATCAAAAACTGTCGCAAATAATGCTGAAACAACTAAACCAAAAGAACCTTTAAACGATCCTCTTGATTTTGATTATGGAGATATGGATGAAGATGATGATGGTGACATAACCCAATCAGGTGCAAATGGTGAGATAAATAATACTACTAAAGAGGCAATCTTGACGAATCCTATAAACGTGAAACCTATAAATGTGTAAGTAAATCGACTGCTTTTTTGAGCATTGTGGGAAGTGTGCGCTTTTAACCAGGTTCCGATAATTTCTTAAACTCTTGCGATTTAATCATTTCTTGAGATTCCTTTTCGATTGTAGTTTTTTATTTTTCAATTTGCAATTATGCATAACCAGAAAAAAAAAATTACATATTACAAAGTAATATTTGTATCGGAAGTATGCACAACCGCTAGTTTGTAACTAGTTAATGTGGAAGAAACCGAAAACAATAAAAAAAAAAAAAAAAAACCAAAAAAAAAAAAGTCAGGCATTCTGTGACAAGTTTTTTTCGAGTTTCACGTGATAATTAATTAGGTTCCCATTTGGATGGTAGTTTCATGACAAATAAAATATATATCGTTCCCCACGAATGGATTATGGACCTTATTGTTAAATTCCTACATTATTTGTTTTTATATTCATGCTTCAAAATCTTTATAGAAATCAATCGGCAACACCTGCAGCATCGTCAATGCCTCAACAACTCAATCAGGATCAAAACCAAAATATGACCAATCAATATTTTCAACCATCTCAAGGAAATTCTTCACAGTCGGTACCACCACCGCAACCTCCGCAACCAGCATCAGCTGCACCATCACTATTAATTTCTGGTCAGCAGCCAATTCCTACTACTAATAGCGCTATGGCACCATTTCCGTTCCCACAGCAACCTTGGGCGGGGCCTGCGCAGCAACAACCACCGCCACCACCGCCCGGAAACATACCACCCCCTCAAAGTCAATACCAACAACCACCACCATTTCCTACTCAACCATGGAATGGTCAACAAGGACTTCTTCCTCCTCCATCATGGAATCCTATTCCTCCACAACAACATGCACCACCTGAACATTTTCCGAACAACCCGGCACCTCAGGGATACCCAATACCTCCTCCAGGTCACCCATTACCTCCTCCGGGTCATCCGTTACCACCTCCGGGACATTCCATGCCTCCACCTCCAGGACATCTTTTACATCAAGGTCCTCCGGGTCCACCACCAGCTGGTCTTCCTATTCAACATCAAGGTCCTCCACCTGGTCACATGTTACAAGGTCCTCCTGGACCACTGCATCAAGGTCCACCCGGACCAAATCCTCAAGGACCACCTGGACATATGGAACTTCCTATTGGAATACCACAAGATGATTGTATAGCATACGCAGACCCAAGTGTTGGAAGAGATTTTATTAAAGGTATAACCTTTATCTATATAAATGTCGTTGGCTTACGAATGTTATTGGTTCATGTTACACGAATTTAAATTTTTTAAATCATTTTTAGTTATTTATTTATTTATTTATTATTTATTTTATTATTTATTTATTATTTATTTATCTATTTATTTATCTATTTATTTATACAGTTCTAAGTCGAACTCTTTACGTTGGTAGCGTAACAGAGGATTTGACCAGAAGTGTTATGGAGAAAATATTTCTTACTTATGGCAGAGTATCTACTATTACGGTAATTATGATATCAAATTGTAATCAAGTATAATCGGATTAAAATATAATGTAAATATTAATATTAATCATATTAATTTAAATTTAAATCAGATTAATTACGATAAAAATCATGCTTTCATTAAAATGGACACACGAGCAGGTGCTGCCAGAGCACTTCATGGTCTTAAAGCGCAAGTAAGCCAGAAGGGTAAACAAAATTGCAAGATTACGGTGGTAAGTTACAAATGATAATAAAGATCTATTTTGAAATCAAGCTCTGGATCAAGAATAGGCAAAATAACGGTTTGAATTAATAAAATCATTATTAACCATCATTCTTATTCTTGATACATAATCAGAGCTTGATTTGTTGAACAGATTTCACATGATAGATATATCATCTATATATAATACATTTATTTTATTTAATGCATTCATAATATTCTAACTTAAATTATAATAATTCAAGGTACGTTGGGGCGTAGGTTTCGGGCCTAAAAATTGCTTTGACTTTGATTCTGGGGAATCTTTAATTCCTCTTAATAGGCTTACAGAAACAGATCGTAAATGGTTATTTACTAGTGAGAAAGGTGGTACTGGTGGAAGGGATATAGTTGGTGGAATTGTAGTTGAGGAACCGGACATTGTAATTGGTGAAGGATTTTCTAGTGGTTCAGGGAATAAAAAATTAGGACCTCAACATGAAAGTTCGCGTAAAGAAAGGCGTAGAGGACATGATAAAGGTGATCGATCATCTAATTCATCTGATTCTAGAAAATATTCGGATGCATCCTGGGAAGGTTCATCTCCCAGACGTCATACAAGTAAATGGGGAGATACATCGAATGATTCACCTTTTCAGGGAACAGCATCTCCTCCTTCACAAGAACACTTACCTACGCAACAACGCTCACGTTCGTTTTCTCCAGGTTTATCACCACGATCACCTGATCATCTACCACAATCAGAATTCGGTAGTTCACAAGAACAACATTTCCAGCAAAGGAGAGAACAAACTCCACAAACTTCTCATAAAAGGGATTATTTTAGTTCTCATGGAGATACACCAGCCCGCGAAGGTAAAAAAAGTCGATGGGATAAATGAAAATGAATACCTAGCATTAGTTATAGCTTCATTATTAGCAATAGTATTTTGAAAAGATATTTCTTTGAACAATTTAATTCGTTTAAGTGGATTATAATCATGAGGCCTTTTTATTTAGTTCACTTATTCCTTTTTTTATAAATATATTATAAATATATATAAAAAAAGGGTATTTTGTATATACTAAAAACAAAAAAAAAAAATAGCCTGTGATAAATTTTTTTTATAGAAGATTCAGAAAAAAGATTTCTTTAGTAAATCAAAACTTTTATTTTGATTATCATAAAAACGAAAAAACGACAAATTGATTACCAGTTCTTACTTTCAAGTTTTTAGAAATTCAATTGGTAATTATTAAAACCATATACGTATCAGTATAATGATTTTAATATTTTCTCGATTATTTTAGATGAAGACCAATCGAATTTCTAATTTATATAAAATATATAAATGAATAAAATAGTACTCTTGCATTGCAATTAATTCATTGTTTTTAGATATATTATAAATCAAATAAATTTTTTTTGATTATCATTACAAACTAAAAATATATAAAATTTTTTAAAATTATTCAGGTTCTCAAAATGACCTAAGTGTAATTTTTTTTTTTCTACAACGAAATAAAATATAATAAAAAGAATGCATACATGTGGATTATGTAAAATCTATGTACAAGAAAATTTAATGTATATTTAAAATCATCAGTTTCATTGACCTATCGTGTCTATCTGAACCCGCTGAGCCACTTTCTCATTCCAATCGTTTACTGTTTTCGAATCAAAAAGCAGAAAGTATTACATTCTACATAAGGAATTATGATTCGATTTTAAAAAAAAAAAACAAAAAAAAAATATATTAAATATGGCAGACTAAAATGAAATCAGATTAAAATGAAATTTTGTATTGTGGTAAATTTTTTTTAGATGATGGTTTTTGTTAGGGCTAAAATTTAGGGTTTTGATGTTTAAAAAAAGGGATTCCAAAATTCATTTTAATCTGATTTCATTATAATTAAATGCTACATATACATATAGTATCCAAAATAAAATAAAAAATAAAAAATAAAATAAAAAAAAAATCTTGGTTTTTTTTTTTCGTAATAAAACTGGTCCACGTTCCACTTTCCATTAAATAGTTTATTTAGGATACTATTCTTTTTCAATATATCACCCAATATCCATCAGATCATTATTCAACGAAAGCGAACCTTTCGTTTATATTGATAAGGTAACGCGAAGTTGAATTTCACACGACATAATTATGTCGCAAAACCTTACCGATATTATGCCGGAAGACATTCTCTCGCCAATTTTCATATTATCGCATTAATATTGAAGTATGTAAATGAAAATGAAAATGAAATGGTATAAATAATTGAGTTCAGTTAAAACTCAAAGCGATTTGATGATTGAAAAATAAGTGAAATATGGATCTCAATTGATTCTTTAAATTCGATTAAAGAAATTGGGACCGGGCGAGGTTGAAAGAGATAGATATAGAATGTCTATAAAAGTTAAGAATGCATATATAGTCTACATTGTTGACTGATTATTTGATGGTCCAAAGGATGAAATGTCATTACCATCATCATCTATTTTACTTATTGCCGTACTGAACAAAGAAGTATCAGTCTCTTCTGGCAACGTGGGTGCATCAGAAACAAAAATTGAACCAGTGTTCAAAGCTTGCAAAGTCGACGTTCCTATGAATGCAGTTGGAGTCACATAACTATTGTCATCAGTATATATAGAATCTATTGGCCCATATGGATGCGAATATAATGGTGGAGCTGATGGACCATAAGGACTATAAGCTGGTGGATCAGATAAATTTATTGGAGGAGTAGAAAAATTAGATGCGCGAGGATCTAATTCGTTATGAGGTGCTATTTCTTCTGCAGATGGAGCAGTAGGTACTATTGAAAGATCATAAGTTGATGGATATGGTGGCATAGTCAATTGAGATATTGTTGACATTGTTAATTGTTTTTTATCTAAAGATTCCGTGTTAACATAATAAACATCAGCATTCAAGTTATTATTAATAGCGCTGTCATTAACAACGCTGTCATTAACAATAACTGTCATATCAATATTTGTTCCATCATCAGACTTGTCTTGGACATCATCCACATTTTTATCATTTTTATCTACATTATCTTCTCCATTTTGATTATTAAAATAATTATTGTTTATTTCTTGTTGTTTCCGTACTTTCCAAAATAGTACTGCTATTGCAATCGCTACTAAAACAAGTGAAGCACCAAGCGAACAGAGAACGACAATTATTTTATGAAGAGTTTCTTCCTCCTCTTGAAGTTTTTTAACATCAAGCTCTGAGGATCCGACTGAGGTCGATGGTTGTGGGGAAGGAGTGGGACTAGAACTGTTATTCTTAGTTGGAGTGTATGAGGGGTCTTCGTTTTTACTGTGCTCACTACTTATTTTTTTTGGTCTAAAATCCGGAGGGGAATTTTCTGGGGATGGATCGTTTGGGGACACCGAAATTACAGACTTTTTTACTAACTTGAATAACATGATGCCAAATCCTGTGGAGGTCTCTATGTCAACGTCTCTTTTGTTTTTGTTCATGCTTGACGGAGTTAAAAAGGAACTTCTTTCCAGTTTGTTTCGTAAAAATATGGAATATACAGGAAAGAACATTCCAACAGCAATCGTTACCAAGGTAATAATAATAACGAAGCGACGAAGCTTCATTATTTTTATTTGTAACTAACTTAGAAATATCAATGTTGTCACCTTAAGTTTTTTTTTTTTTTTTTTTTTACTTCTCGTTAGAATTTGATAAATAATTATGATTAATTTTTGAAACAAATTTTGTTAGTTTTTTTCTTTAACGAAGAAATGAGTCGTTTCTTACAAAGAAGGTAGTAAAAGGTTTAAAATGATATATGAAAATGGATATTATGAGTTATAATGGAACTGCATGTTTTTCTTTATTTACGGGTTCGGAATGTGTTGTATAGTAAATAATAACGATAAAAAAAAAAACTCAAAATTAATTTTGTCATATAACAGTTAAGGAAATTAGTTTTCCCTTAATAATAACGATACTTTTATCGGTATGCACTGTTATTTGATAAAAAATCTATTTATAATTAAAAATTAAGCACATCAAGATCCTAATCCTGCTTTTCATTATCTAAATTATGAATTTTTTTTTTCTAAAAA